TTCATGCATTGCATTTACCCAGAATTCATCCTTCAGAGCTTCTGCAATATTTCTTGGTTCCACTAAAGACACAAAACAAGTGGTTCCAGTTAGTGCACATTCAGAAGATAAATTAGCAATTCTTACCATATCTCTGTAGTTCACTCTCTCTTTTCTTCTGGTTCTTATTCCACCAAAGATATCTCCCACAACTTGAGTCGAGGGGTGATTTTTCTGGATTCTACTTGATGGTTCCTTTCTGCAGACATCATGAGTTGGCTGCAATTCAGCTTCTGTGCTCTCTGTATGAAGTATTGAGTCAGATGTGGTAACACTTGGCTCAACACCCTCTTCTCTTGATACTGGACTGTTTATATCTGGAGCATCTGTGGCAGTAGTGTCTCCTCCGGTTGTTTCTCCTTCAGCAATCAGGTCATCAACTTCATCTTCAGCTGTTTTACTGTGGAGATCAGCAAAATCATCAAATACCACATTTACAGATTCAATAATGGTTCGAGTTCTTAAGTTATATACTCTATACGCATGACTGTTATTAGAGTATCCCACAAATAAACTCAAATCACTTTTTGAATCAAATTTAGATAGATGATCTCTATTATTTAGGACATAGCAAACACATCCAAACACATGCATGTATTCTAGATCTGATTTTTCTCTTAAAAAATACACCCAAGTATATCTCGAAAAATCATCAACACACATAAATGCAAATTTCTTACCACCTAGGCTTTCTACCTCTATAGGACCCATAAGATCCATATGTACAAGTTCAAAACAAATGGTGGTACCAACGCGTTGTAACACTTTGTATGGCACTCTAGTTTGCTTTCCCTTCTGGTACATTCCGTATATAGGAATGTCCTTGATTTTGAGATCTGGAATTCCTCTTATGGCATTGTACTTGTTGAGCAGCTTCAGATTTTTGAAGTTTGTGTGCCCTAGATTCTGGTGCCACAGCTCTACTTCACTTACTCTTGAGTTCTTGCATGAGATGGTATCACCTGTTTGATAACAATTATCCATTGACCTGGAACCTGTCAGTACACAATGATTTTGATTATCAAACACAGAACAACAGTATTTATCAAATTGAACACGTAGATCATCATCACACAATTGACTAATACTGATGAGATTTGACCCCAATCCTTTAACATGTAAAACATTTGAAAGTTTTGGAAGTCCCTCAATACTGAGTGTTCCACGTCCAACCACTTTGCCTTTAGCTCCTCCTCCATAGGTTACACGTCCTCCATTGAGTGTATGGTAGTTTGATAGAAATTCTTTTGTTCCAGTCATGTGCCTAGAGCATCCACTATCAAAGTACCATGAACCTGAAATGTTAGCATCTAAAGAAGTGTATACTGCTTTGCACATAAGTTTACCTTTGGGAGTCCATATTCTCCACTCATTTTTGGTAAATTCTACCTTTTTCTGTGAGGTGTTGCCTGGAGTGATGTGACTCATTATGTACAACATTTTATCACTACTGTGTTTTTCACAAAATGGACGAATATGTCCTGGTGAGAAACAGTAATGACAAATGTATTCCCTTATTCTGGACTCTGGAGTGGTGACTGTGGAATTTCTGCATTCTTTTCCATTTGAACCCTTCTCTTTTACAAAGACAACTTCTTTCTTCTTTACTGGCTTGTGTTTCTTCACTTGTTTGTTGAACCCTAGACCTTCATTCTTGTTGTACTTCTCCAGTGACACAATCTCTTCGAGTTTAGTTGTGCCAGTGTTCATCCTCTTGATTGCTAGAGTTGCCTTTTTAAGTTCATCTTTCACCTTTGCCAGTTCAAGATCCTTCCTGGTTATTCCAACCTCCAAATGTGTGATTGTTTCTTTGAGGGAGGAATTTTCCTTGTTGGCTGCATCTAGAGCTTGAGTCTTCTTCTCCAAGTTGCTGATCAGCTTCTTACACATTTCTTCCTTATCACTAACTGTTTCATTACTGGATTCTGCAGCATTCAAAGAAATAGAGTTTAAACATGTATAATGATCAGTATTTAACTCAGAAATTTCAGTTACTGAAAGTGTTTCAGAAAGTGTTGCAGCATCCAGAGAAACTCCTTGTGATTCTGTTTCAGAAGCACTTCCAGTGATATATCTGACAGAGAGAGCTTGTTTAGTGGATTGTTGTTCCTCTGTCTGTTCTGGTTGCTCTTCCTCCTCATCACTGACAGCACAAATCAAACTCATTCCTCTTCTTCTCAAGGTATTTGCACACTCATTAGCATAATGTCCAAATCCTGAACAGGCCCTGCATTTAATATGATCCAAGTTAGGTGGTTCAGAATTTGAACGAATAAATGAAGAATTTTTTAAAGTGTTTTGAGAAGATGTTTGAGGAAATGTTCTCTGTGGAATAGATCTGTTCCGGGGCTGAGTTTGTCGATTTTGTGGAGAGCCATCTGGAAATAATTGTCTGGGCTTGATTCCACTTCGCCTGTATGCCCTATTGAATTTCTGAATTTGGAATGCAACATTGTTGAGACATTCCTCTGCATCATCAACATATTCCGGAGCAACATCTTCCTTCTCCAATTCTGCATGGAGTGCATTTGAGATAGCCTTTCCTTTCTCCTTTCTTTGATCTTCAAAGTTCATCTCTCTAGACTTTAGACTACCAATTAATTCGTCCAGCCGTAGAGATGATGTGTCTTTGGCCTCTTCAATAGCAGTAACCGTCATGCTGAACCTTTCTGGAAGAGTTCTCAATACCTTGTTCACCAGTGTCTCGTTGCTTAAAGGACCACCTAAGGATTGAAATTCATTAGCTAAATCAATCAATTTCTCATTGTATTGAGAAATTGTTTCGGTTTCTTCCATCCTCAGTCTCTCAAATTTGGAAGAGAGTAATCTGAGCTTGGTTCTCCTGACACTATCTGATCCTTCACAATGTAGCTGAAGAACCTCCCATGCATCCTTTGCAGAAGTGCACACTGAAATCAATTTAAACATTGTTAAATCTACTGAATTGAAGATTGCATTTAACGCCTTTGAGTTTTGATTGGCATTCGATAGATCATCTGCTGTCCACCGTAATTCTGGTGTTGGAGAAACATCCCCATCCGCATCTGTCATCGTTGGTGGCTTCCATCCAGTAAGGATAGATCTCCAGGCTCTCTCATCAATGGCTTTGATGTACGCCCTCATCTTGACTTTCCAGTAGGTGTAGTTTGTGCCGTCGAGTACAGGAGGTCGCATAGAAGCAGTCATCTGAGTATCCATCACGAATTCGTTTCTGAAAAAGAAAAATAGGAACAAACACTTAGTATACGTCAAGTGTTGGCTCTTGATGCCAATTGAAATAATTTATGGTCCCGAATTCGTTTAATACAGAGGTGTTGTCTTAAGTGTTATGACACTTGAACAAACATGCAGCGGAAATATAAAGACAAAAGAACAATACTCAGAATTAAACACGTTCACAAGTAAAGACTTGTGAACTTGTCCTTTACAGGACAGAAAAATATATATTAAAATCAGTATTCCAAGAATACAAACAGAAGAGGTGCGAAAACTTCTTCCTTACGAATGAATCTTTTTCAAGATCATTCTTACAATCAAATCTAGATACTAAAAGAAAAATATTAAAAATTCTAGATTTCAAAGATGTACTCGTGAGGAGTACGTAAAGAACTTATGAATGAATCACTATCTTGATCATTCTTACAACCAAGTCTAGAAACATATATACTAAACAATCTAGACTACAAAGAATGTACTTATGAGAAGTACGTAAAGAATGTACTCATAAGGAGTACGTAAAGAATGTACTCACGAAGAGTACGTAAAGAATGTACTCGTGAAGAGTACAAACAACCGATTCTAAAACCTAACTAAAACACTCGTGTATTCTCTTCAGCCCTCGGTTTTTATTTCATCGAATCGATCATCTTCCTTGAGTATTGAAGTCGGTATTTATAGGCATTCCAAGCATCCACTCCTCAGCCCATGATCTGCAAGAAAAACCAACTACAAGAGCACTCAAGAACATGGGTTAGTGGGTTAGTGGGTTAGTTTAAGGAGTTAGAATAATATTCACAATTAAACCCACTTAAGCACTACTTAGCCCACTAAGCACTATACTTAACCCACTAAGCACTACTTATTCCATAACTAAAATTTAGTTTAAAAAATAAGAAAGTTAAAAAACACAACGTGGAGATAATCCACGCTCACGTGTTTCATATATATATATATATCATTTTCAGAATCGTTTATAAATCAATAAATTCTCTGAAATCTGAATAGAAATCCACAAATCAAACATGCATAACAAAAAACATCTTAATTAATTCCATATATATTTGTGTGTGTGTGTGTATATATATGCATGCAAAAACAGCAAATCGCAGATATCGGAAGAAGAGGGCAGACCTCGGTGGCGGTCCGGCGGAGGTTCAGGCGGTGGAGAAATTCGATTAAGGATCGAGAAGCCCTGGCGGACATATATGTGTGCTGCTGCCTGAATTTCCGACAAAGCAGAGCTGCGCGCTGAGTTGTGACAGATATATTTTCTGTCGGTCCTTTATATGGAGAAAAAATGACGTCAAAACCCTAGAAAACTTACTAACCGACCGCCGCCAAAAATTATATTTTCTGTCTGATACCTTAGTTCTTTTATATACGTTCCAATATTTTCTAATTTTATATTATATAATATTCAAATATTAATATTGTTGGTATGCATAAATTCGTAATTCATATTTCAATTTATGAATATTTTATTTTGTTTTTTCTTAATTTTGGAGTTGCATCATCAGAAAAATGAGAAAATGACATAATCGGCAGATAATGTACCCGTTGAGGTAATTGGAAATGGGGCTTGCTATTATCAGTGCGGTTTTTTCCAGCTACAGTGCGAAATAATTCATTTGTCAAAAAACACTTTAACCTTTTACAAAATCCTCTCAACCTCCAAATATTTCGACTTTCGTAGATCGTGATTTGTTTTCGTAGAAATCAGTTAAAACCCAACGATTATCAAGATGGCCAACATCGATCCCGTAAATGAGGTAAAAAAATACGTTTTAGTGTGATTTTTTTCGATTTTCAGTCGTTTTCGTTTCGTGTAGAATATCACGAAATTATTCAAGTCATTTTGTGGTGTTTTGCACGAAATGAACACTTTATTCGTGTTTTCCAGTCATTTCGTGTACAATACTACGAAATTATACCTCTTATTTCGTGTAAAGTCACACGAAACAGCAGTAAACTATTTTGTTACTCATTTCGTGCAGTACTACACGAAATGTATGCATGCATTTCGTGTACTTTTACACGAAATGTATACATATACTTCGTGTAATTTTACACGAAATACCTAGTATTGTTATTAATTTTTTTTGTGCAAGTATCTAACCTTTTTTTTGTATTTACGCAGCCATATGACGACAATTTGTATTTTGATCCCTCGGTTTTGGATAAAAAGGAATATGAAGATTTCTCTCACTTCTTCCAAGTTGATATTGTGTTCGGCAGTAGGGAAGAATTAATCAACTGGGCGAAAGAAACTGCAGTTAGTCATTGTCACCGTTTGATTTGTCAGTCTAGAAGGGAGAATGCACAGTACATGACGTGTGACAAATACGGACATGGCCGACAAACGAATATCGATGTGGAAGATCCTAGAAACTCAGGAACAAAAAAATGTGGTTGTCCGTTCAAATTGATTGGCAAAAGGTCAAGGTTTGATGAATTATGGCGGTTGACTGTCAGCGATGGCAGGCATAGTCATCGTCCGACTTTGTTTCCTCACGGACAAGGTACGACTAGTCGTATAACTCCACAACAGAAAGCAAGAATTAAAGAATTGCGAAATTCTCACGTGAAGCCAATGCTGATCATGGATAGACTGAGAAAAGATGATCCGACGATACAAACCTCTATGAAGCATGTTTACAATGAGTTGGCCAAGATTAAATCTGAGGAAATGGAGGGCATGACTGTTATTCAGTTTATGATGCATAACTTTCAAAAAGGCGAGTATCGATATTGGCATCGTGTCGATAGTGAAACGAGCAACACGATTACAGATATTATGTTTGCATGTCCCGAATATATTAAGTTATTACGGTTGTTCCCGTATGTTATATTGATGGACTGCACATACAAAACCAATAAGTAAGTAAAAATTACGATTGTTCAAATTATGATTATTGTGTTTTAATGTCTTGTATTGTTTAAATATGTAAAAACAACATTGTTGTAGGTATGGAATGCCTCTTTTGGAAATAATTGGGATAACTCCAGTTGGGAGGAATTATACAATTGCTGTTGCATTTATGTCGCATGAAGATGCAGACACCTACGAGTGGACTTTGAATTGTTTGAAAGAGTTGCTAGATGGTGTCGAACCTGATGCGATCTTGACAGACAGAGAGTTGGGTCTTTTGAAAGCACTGCCAAATGTCTTCTCATTTTCGTATCATATGTTGTGTATATTCCATATAAACAGAAATGTTGAGGCAAATGCGACGAAATTTATGGGAGGCAACAAGGACCAAGGTCTAATATTCTGACGTGTGCTGTGGGCTAAGCTGGTGAAATCAGAAACCGAAGAAGAGTATCATTACAATTACAATGAAATTGTTGAACGGTATGCAGGGTATCCTAGGCTGATACAGTATTTGAATGATACGTGGTTGATATACAAGGAGAAGTTTGTTCGAGCCTATACTCGCAATGTGTATCATTTTGGCAACACGAGCACCAACAGGTATTACATGTTTTAGTTATTTAAATGATAAAAGATATTATATAAAAATAATATTTATTTTGTAATTTGATTGTCGTTGTATGCTCTGATTGTTGTTGTAATTGAATAGGGTGGAGAGCGCTCATTCTTCAGCGAAGGGTTGGTTAAATGCTTCGACCGGTGGTCTGGATAACGTGCAAGGCAAACTTCGGGACCAAGTTTATATCCAAATTAGTGAGCTGAAGTGCGATTTTTCATTATCATCCAAGATAAGGAAGCATACTGCAGCATGGCCGTGTTTTCAGGGTTTGATTTGTTATGTTACGCATCTGGCATTAGAGAAACTGGATGAAGAGATGGAGTCCCCGGCGATGCAAGATCCGAGTATTTGCACACACTATCTTTGGAATACTCATGGGCTCCCATGCGCGTGCAAAATTGTGCAGAAAATGGAAGATAATGACACGTTCGTCATTTCAGACTTGCATCCATTCTGGAGTACCATGGCAGTTGAGCCTTCGGAGCTACCCGAGTATCAAGTAAACCGCGAGGAGATTGTGGATAGACAGATTGATGACCTGAATTGCAATTTGAAGAAGATGAATTACACGAGTAAGATAAATGCCGTGGCCTCATTGCGTGGTATCGTTTATCCGTCTACGTCGCATCTGTCCGAGCCATCATTTGTTAAGACCAAAGGACGACCAAAGAATAACTCGACAAAGAGAGACCCTTCTGGATGGCAGTATCATATTGATGAGGAGACAATTAAGTCGTCTTGTGGTTCCAAGGGTCGCCAAACCTCATCTGGTGCAAAGATTCCTAAAACAAAGGTTGAGAGAAGCACTGATGGAACGCCTCAATCGAAGATGAAAGGTCGTGGTTCTCGTATTCCCACACAAGAATCTGTTGCCCCTACAATACCTGCACATGAAGGAATCGACTTTTATTCTTTCGTGCCCAGATTTATGGTCCGTCTTATTCAAGATTATGTTAACGTGATGGCGGATGGCAACTGTGGGTACCGGTGCGTTGCTCAAGCCGTGTACGGGGATCAAGAAAGATGGCCGCAAGTGAGAGGGGAGTTGCTTATTTAGTTATACGAGCATGCTAGTGTCTACACGGCGATGTTTGGCAGTACCGGATACGTTGAGGTCATACGCAAGTGTGACTGGACCTCAGGGCCTTGTCCACAAGCTTATTGGATGGACATGAATGAAATGGGATTGGCCGTTGCTACCAGATACAGTGCATTAGTGGTACTTTTGACTCAAGTAGGGAGTATGACTTACCTTCCTATGTTTGGCAGTGGTCACTTATCATGTATGATTGTTGTGACATTGCACAACAATCATTTCATGTTTGTTAATTTGGTCGCAAATAGTCCACTACCACCAATCCATCCGGCATGGGTACACCATAGAGCTAAAAACTTGAGGCACTTACTCAAAACGTACAAACCCCGACTACTCTTGTACGAACAATTAAAGTCTGGTCGGTAGTTCAATTTGTAGTTGTATCTCAAATCTAGTTGAATTTGTATTTGTAGTTGTATTTGAATTCTAGTTCAATTTGTAGTTGTATTTGAATTCTAGTTCAATTTGTATTTGTATTTGAATTCTAGTTCAATTTGTATTTGTATTTGAATTTTTAGGTCAATTTTGTATTTGAAATTTAGATCAATTTGTAGTTGTATTTGAATTCTAGTTCAATTTGTATTTGTATTTGAATTTTTATGTCAATTTGAGTGTCTGAAATAAATTGGTTAATTAAAAAATAAATCAATTAGTTATTTCGTACTTAATTTCACGAAATGTCACTTCATATTTCGTGGAAAAATCTACGAAATATGGTCTTCCATTTCGTAGAAAACTCCACGAAATATGGTATTCCATTTCGTGTACGTTTACACGAAATGCACGATTTTTTTTAATCTAACAGTTTCGTCCTTCGTGTTCTATAACAATAAACACTTATATTTCGTGTGAAAAGACACGAAATTATTGAGTCGATTTCGTGTAATAATACACGAAATAGCGGGCGAATTTGGTTTTTTTTAGGAAAGTTACAAATGAAATAAATCGCACTGCAAGCCGGTAAAAACCGCACTATGAATAGCATTTCAGTTGGAAATTTAGATAATATAGAGGGAGGTAACATAAGGAAATGAAAATGCTACATCGGGATAAGGCGAGATCTATGAGATCGATCGATCAACCAAATTTACAATGTGGTCACCATTAGGTAGGTCAATTAATTGTTTAATTGCAATTTAATTTACGGATGGATATACAAGGGCAACGAGAAAATCTGCACGGCAAACTCGGAGGGAAAATCAACGTATGTGCTCGAGAATCCTAATAAATGCGTGTAATAAATTCCCATGATATAAGCCGTATGTTTTATCATTTTAGGTTGGATGAGCGATGACACACAACTCCGATCGAGTCCACTTCGTCTCAACAATAAAGTAATATTAGTTTATGGGAGATAAGTGAAATTAACGCTAATATAAATCCTATAAATTAGCTTCGACATGTAATATTTAGAATTAGGAGTGGACTTTATAACGGAATTTTTGAATTTCGCCGATTATGATCCAAGATTTTCCAATATTTAATTTAAAAAATTTATTATGATTACATATTTTTTTAAATATATAAAAAAATAGATCATAATCATAAATATATATCAAATACTTGAAATTCCGATATTCAATCCTATTTTAATTTTAATTTTAAATGCATTTTTTTCTAAATAACTATACATATATATTTACATAATTGCTAAAGTACTATTAATAACATTAGTATAACCAATAAAAAAATGATTTTTTTCTTTTTGTAAAATTTCAAAATTATTTTCGGAAACTGAAATCGTATCGAAAATCAAACTCTCATAACGAGAAGTATCGTTTCAAATTCCGTTCCAATTTCGACCCGTAACTGCAAGTTTCAACCAATTACTTGTGCCCCCTTAGCCCAACTTATTTTGGGCCTTTCATATATACTTTGAAGCCCAATAAAACATTTTATCTTATAAAATAAAAATAAAATAAAATAAAGTATAAAATATAAAAATAAAATAAAGTTTCGGATAAAGCTACTGAGAATTCGCAGAACAATTTCACTCCTTTCAATCGCAAACCCCAAAAATCCAGAGCGGGAAGACGAGCTTCAGAGTTCAACAATGGCGTCGATTTCTTCATCAATTACCGCCATACCCTTCTCAGTTTGCAGTTCCTCCGCCATTTCTTCCCGGCCGCAGCTCTCCTTCCCTTGTTCGAACCCGCTGACCGTTAAATCTGCCCGAATCTCCACTTCGAGGATTTTAGCTGCCCCTGAAGCGTTGGAACCCGCTGTGGATTCTCCTATCGCTGAGGTTATCTACAAACTTCTGATTAAATCCATTTATTTTATTTTTATTTTATTTTTATTTTGGAATTTGTGTTCGTTAATTATGAAATTTGTTTCTGGTTTTGTTTATCTGGTTTCAGGTTGAAGCTCCTTTAGATTCTTCGGATAAGGTACTTCAATTTCCTTCGCTCTGTAATTTTCAATTTTTCATTGCATGAGAGCTGAATTGTAGGGTTTTTAATTTTCAATTAAATTGGTGCCTCGTGCTGAAATTAGGGTTAGTTTTCTGTGGGGAATTGTGCGATTTCAGTAGCTTTTTGTGTGAAATTAGGGTTAATCTGGAGCCTTCACAATTGTGCATTGTACAAACCACAACGATGACGGGAAATAAACGAGGTTTGATGTGAAATTTTGCTCGATTAATGTCTAATCGGTGCTTATTTAGTGAACCCATGATCTTAAGTGCTGCATTTATCTGTAAGAACACCGTTTGTTGTGGAAATAAACTTGTCTTTTAAACATACATTGTTTTCGAACCCTTTGGTTTTTTTAAGAGACGAATGTGAATTGGCACGCAATGCTTTGTTGATTGAACTAAGTTGGCTTAGAGTGTAGGGCATGTGGTTTTTGTAACTATTGGTTAGACCGTTGAAACGAAACGGGTTAAAATAATTGAACTGAGTCGTGTGAGGTTGTTCGAGTAGTGAAGACGAAAGGTAGTTCTAGAAGTAAAATATGCATAATTGGAGGTGTGATTAGATAAATAGGGGCCGTGCAAGAATGATGGTGAATTATAGTGAGATTCCTGTCTTAAAACGTTAAACGCGAATCGAACTACGTATTCCGACAAGCGTTAATCAGTAAACGTCTGGTTAATTATCACCGATCACTAAAAAAATGTTCCCACTTGAAAGAGAGAAAAAGTCGATAGATTGTGGTTACATACATGGTCTCGGTGTTTAATTTATTGGATATACACTCTATCGGTTCCGACACTATAAAAATGAAAAATAAATTTAAATAAAAAACTTACTTTTCTAGAGCTTTTCACACTGTAGTATACTCGATAATGCCAAGTATGTAGCCAAGTCTATACAGGTAAATCCGACACGTAAAATATTGAAAACCAATTATGTAATTTCTAACATTCGGTATATTCCTCTCATGTGGCAAATAATCAGTGTGCTTTTGTTGTGGATTTATTGTTACTCGATTGGAGAACTTTCTATATGTAGGTGTATGTATATTATGAAATCCTAAAAGGGTATTTATCTGGTGTATTAGGTTTCGCCGAAGCAGAAGATTCGAATCAAACTGAGGTCGTACTGGGTACCCTTGATCGAAGATTCGTGCAAGCAGATAATGGATGCTGCTAGGACAACAAACGCAAAGACCGTGGGCCCCGTTCCTTTGCCGACGAAGAGAAGAGTGCACTGTGTCCTGAAATCGCCGCACGTCCACAAAGATGCCAGATTCCATTTCGAGATCCGAACCCATCAGAGGCTTATCGACATTCTTTATCCGACTGCACAAACAATCGACTCTTTGATGCAGCTCGATTTGCCTGCTGGTGTGGATGTTGAGGTCAAGCTTTAGATTGTTGTATTTACTTTTTAATTTTTTTTGTTTTTTTTTTTTTGTTTTGTAGGCATGATTTGTTGTTGTTGTTGACTGTGTAATAGACTTTGAGGATGAATTTGTTAATGTTTTGTTTTGTATGGTGTAGTTTGAAATATATGCAATTTCATTAACTGTATTTTTTTATTTTTTTGGGGATTTGAAACACTTGAAGCGGGTCGGGTCAGAATGAGCAAGTTCAGGGTCAGAGTGATCCATCTCTGTAATTTGCAGACAAATTAAAAAAAAAAAAAAAAAAAAATATTTAGGTTATTTAGGATGACCCTCAACTATAATCATCGGACAATAATGGAAGGGTAAAATACAAGTATACAACCATTTCTGAGGTGTTTGGGTATTTATAACCACCTCTTCAAATATAAATTTTCTTACAAGTGCACCCTTGCGGTTTCAAATTTAGTGGAATCTTCGAGATTATATGGAATATTATCACTTTTGTACCCGCTTTATTCCATTCGAACTCCACATTTTGAAGCAAGATGATCATAATATGTGTTTCTTGGTTTGTATATATCAGATTGTGGTGCATCATAAACTGTATTTTTGCACAAAACGAGTACAAACTAGAGCGCATTCCACGAAATTTAGATGATTATGTTGAATTTAACACCATAAGGGTGAAGGTGTAAGAAAAGGTTATAGTTGAGGGAGTAAACATAATTACCCAAACAAGATTGATTTTTTTCGTAAGTTGAGGTTGGTTGTAATTTACCCAAAATGTAATAATTGTCATCAATCTACGTACTTTTTTCGGGTTGTCTTTGGGTCCAGAGTTTGGGTAGGATTTAGTGGAGTGATCGGCGAATTCTGCTCTCGTTTTTTCTTTTTCGATTCAAAAGCCAGAAACACGAAGGAATTAGATGTTATACATATACAACCGCTATCGAAAGTGACTCGGGTTATTATTATTAAAAAAATTATTTATTAAAAAAAAAAAAAAAAAAAAAAAAAAAAAAAAAAAAACCCAGTAAAATATGTAATTGAGAAAAGAATTTGTATATATGAGTTGATTTAGTGTGGAAGCGTAGATAATAAATTTTGAGACCATAGAGATAGTGATTGATTCAAGACAGTATATTTTTTGTGATAATTAATTCAAGACAGTATATTACTCCCTCCGTCCCAATTTAAATGACGTTTTGGGTTGTTACACACATATTAAGAAAATCAATAAATGTGTATAGATTATAGTGAAAAGCATAGGAAAATACTAATATATCCTTGACATTAATTATTTTACAACTAACAAATTAGGAGTGATAAAGGGTAAAATTGAAAATAATGCAATTAATGATGCATTGAAAATCTAAAATGACAAATAATTTGGGACAAAAAAAACTCTCTAAAAAGACATATAATATGGGACAGAGGGACTATTTAGAGAGTTGTCGAAATAAATGAAAGTAAAAAAACAGATAAATGGCGCTTTGATTGCTATTTGAAAGGGACGGAAAAGTAGAAAACGTGTTATTAATAATGATAAAAAAAAGGCGGCTTCTCAATAACTTGAACGGGCAGCGGTCAATGATGTTTTTTTTTTGGGTGTTGTGTTGCTAAATGTTAGTGTGAAAGGGCACCCTTTTAAATACTATGAGATTGGTAATAATTTGTGTGTAAATTAATTAGATATTGTGTTTGAATTATAAATTGAATGATATTTTTACAACTTATCTTATCATGTTATCATAATTGAATAGAGTTCGACCCCGATTTCATATTTTATCGAACTAAAATACGAGTTAAATTAACAAGTTGAGTTCAAAAAAAATTTCGACCATCGATTTCGAGTCGAACAGTTTTATCTAATTTTCAGCCATACTAGTAGTTTTTCATTCAATTAAATCGAGAAAGGATGAAATTGAATTTTGCAAATGTGCACGTATGTGCTTTGTAGCACGAAAACTTCAATTTTATACTGGTATCTGTGTTTCGGACACTTTTCGTGTTCGACACTCGAAGACACCTGTCGAACACCTTATGGGCCATTTTGCAATTTCTGAAAAGTTAGAAACACATTTGAATGGCGAATTTCCAAATATTTTTTTTCACTCCCGATAATTGATAATAATATATATTTTGAATATATTTGTATGGAAATGTATGAACAGCGTTTTATATAAACAAAATTTTATATACATTTATATAGCATACTTATAAATACCATCTCTTTACTTTTATATATTTACATGTTTCTCCTAAGTTCCTGTATCCAAATTTTTGGGACATGTTGCCCCGTGTCAATTTTCTCATTTTTTCGTATCGACGTTTCCTTGTTCGTACTGCATAGCTTATTTGTATTCATATACATTTTAAAAAGGGGCTTGCTATTATCAGTGCGGTTTTTTCCAGCTACAGTGCGAAATAATTCATTTGTCAAAAAACACTTTAACCTTTTACAAAATCCTCTCAACCTCCAAATATTTCGACTTTCGTAGATCGTGATTTGTTTTCGTAGAAATCAGTTAAAACCCAACAATTATCAAGATGGCCAACATCGATCCCGTAAATGAGGTAAAAAAATACTTTTAGTGTGATTTTTTTCGATTTTCAGTCGTTTCGTGTAGAATATCACGAAATTATTCAAGTCATTTCGTGTTGTTTTGCACGAAATGAACACTTTATTCGTGTTTTCCAGTCATTTCGTGTACAATACTACGAAATTATACCTATTATTTCGTGTAAAGTCACACGAAATAGCAGTAAAACTGTTTTGTTATTCATTTCGTGCAGTACTACACGAAATGTATGCATATACTTCGTGTAATTTTACACGAAATACCTAGTATTGTTATTAATTTTTTTTGTGCAAGTATCTAACCTTTTTTTTGTATTTACGCAGCCATATGACGACAATTTGTATTTTGATCCCTCGGTTTTGGATCAAAATGAATATGAAGATTTCTCTCACTTCTTCCAAGTTGATATTGTGTTCGGCAGTAGGGAAGAATTAATCAACTGGGCGAAAGAAACTGCAGTTAGTCATTGTCACCGTTTGATTTGTCAGTCTAGAAGGGAGAATGCACAGTACATGACGTGTGACAAATACGGACATGGCCGACAAACGAATATCGATGTGGAAGATCCTAGAAACTCAGGAACAAAAAAATGTGGTTGTCCGTTCAAATTGATTGGCAAAAGGTCAAGGTTTGATGAATTATGGCGGTTGACTGTCAGCGATGGTAGGCATAGTCATCGTCCGACTTTGTTTCCTCACGGACAAGGTACGAATAGTCGTATAACTCCACAACAGAGAGCAAGAATTAAAGAATTGCGAAATTCTCACGTGAAGCCAATGCTGATCATGGATAGACTGAGAAAAGATGATCCGACGATACAAACCTCTATGAAGCATGTTTACAATGAGTTGGCCAAGATTAAATCTGAGGAAATAGAGGGCATGACTGTTATTCAGTTTATGATGCATAACTTTCAAAAAGGCGAGTATCGATATTGGCATCGCGTCGATAGTGAAACGAGCAACACGATTACAGATATTATGTTTGCATGTCCCGAATCTATTAAGTTATTACGGTTGTTCCCGTACGTTATGTTGATGGACTGCACATACAAAACCAATAAGTAAGTAAAAATTACGATTGTTTAAATTATGATTATTGTGTTTTAATGTCTTGTATTGTTTAAATATGTAAAAACAACATTGTTGTAGGTATGGAATGCCTCTTTTGGAAATAATTGGGATAACTCCAGTTGGGAGGAATTATACAATTGCTGTTGCATTTATGTCGCATGAAGATGCAGACACCTACGAGTGGACTTTGAATTGTTTGAAAGAGTTGCTAGATGGTGTCGAACCTGATGCGATCTTGACAGACAGAGAGTTGGGTCTTTTGAAAGCACTGCCAAATGTCTTCTCATTTTCGTATCATATGTTGTGTATATTCCATATAAGCAGAAATGTTGAGGCAAATGCGACGAAATTTATGGGAGGCAACAAGGACCAAGGTCTAATATTCCGACGTGTGCTGTGGGCTAAGCTGGTGAAATCAGAAACCGAAGAAGAGTATCATTACAATTACAATGAAATTGTTGGACGGTATGCAGGGTGTCCTAGGCTGATACAGTATTTGAATGATACGTGGTTGATATACAAGGAGAAGTTTGTCCGAGCCTATACTCGCAATGTGTATCATTTTGGCAACACGAGCACCAACAGGTATTACATGTTTTAGTTATTTAAATGATAAAAGATATTATATAAAAATAATATTTATTTTGTAATCTGATTGTCGTTGTATGCTTTGATTGTTGTTGTAATTGGATAGGGTGGAGAGTGCTCATTCTTCAGCGAAGGGTTGGTTAAATGCTTCGACCGGAGGTCTGGATAACGTGCAAGGCAAACTTCGGGACCAAGTTTATATCCAAATTAGTGAGCTGAAGTGCGATTTTTCATTATCATCCAAGATAAGGAATCATACTGCAGCATGGCCGTGTTTTCAGGGTTTGATTTGTTATGTTACGCATCTGGCATTAGAGAAATTGGATGAAGAGATGGAGTCCCCGGCGATGCAAGATCCGAGTATTTGCACACACTATCTTTGGAATACTCATGGGCTCCCATGCGCGTGCAAAATTATGCAGAAAATGGAAGATAATGACACGTTCGTCATTTCAGACTTGCATCCATTCTGGAGTACCATGGCAGTTGAGCCTTCGGAGCTACCTGAGTATCAAGTAAACCGCGAGGAGATTTTGGATAGACAGATTGATGACCTGAATTGCAATTTGAAGAAGATGAATTACACGAGTAAGATAAATGCCGTGGTCTCATTGCGTGGCATCGTTTATCCATCTACGTCGCATCTGTCCGAGCCATCATTTGTTAAGACCAAAGGACGACCAAAGAATAACTCGACAAAGAGAGACCCTTCTGGATGGCAGTATCATATTGATGAGGAGACAATTAAGTCGTCTTGTGGTTCTAAGGGTCGCCAAACCTCATCTGGTGCAAAGATTCCTAAAACAAAGGTTGAGAGAAGCACTGATGGAACGCCTCAATCGAAGATGAAAGGTCGTGGTTCTCGTATTCCCACACAAGAATCTGCTGCCCCTACAATACCTGCACATGAAGGAATAGACTTTTATTCTTTCGTGCCCAGATTTATGGTCCGTCTTATTCAAGATTATGTTAACGTGATGGCGGATGGCAATTGTGGGTACCGGTGCGTTGCTCAAGCCGTGTACGGGGATCAAGAAAGATGGCCGCAAGTGAGAGGGGAGTTGCTTATTGAGTTATACGAGCATGCTAGTGTCTACACGGCAATGTTTGGCAGTACCGGATACGTTGAGGTCATACGCAAGTGTGACTGGACCTCAGGGCCTTGTCCACAAGCTTATTGGATGGACATGAATGAAATGGGATTGGCCATTGCTACCAGATACAGTGCATTAGTGGTACTTTTGACTCAAGTAGGGAGTATGACTTACCTTCCTATGTTTGGCAGTGGTCACTTATCATGTATGATTGTTGTGACATTGCACAACAATCATTTCATGTTTGTTCATTTGGTCGCAAATAGTCCACTACCACCAATCCATCCGGCATGGGTACACCATAGAGCTAAAAACTTGAGGCACTTACTCAAAACGTACAAACCCCGACTACTCTTGTACGAACAATTAAAGTCTGGTCGGTAATTCAATTTGTAGTTGTATCTGAAATCTAGTTGAATTTTTATTCGTATTTGAAATTTAGATCAATTTGTAGATGTATTTGAATTCTAGTTCAATTTGTAGTTGTATTTGAATTCTAGTTCAATTTGTAGTTGTATTTGAATTCTAGTTCAGTTTGTATTTGTATTTGAATTTTTAGGTCAATTTTGTATTTGAAATTTAGATCAATTTGTAGTTGTATTTGAATTCTAGTTCAATTTGTATTTGAATTCTAGTTCAATTTGTATTTGTATTTGAACATTTAGGTCAATTTGAGTGTCTGAAATAAATTGGTTAATTAAAAAATAAATCAATTAGTGATTTCGTACTGAATTGCACGAAATGTTACTTCATATTTCGTGGAACAATCTACGAAATATGGTCTTCCATTTCGTAGAAAACTCCACGAAATATAATGTCACATTGCGTGTAGACGTACACGAAATACACGATTTTTTTCAATCTAACGGTTTCGTCCTTCGTGTTCTATAACAATAAACACTTATATTTCGTGTGAAACGACACGAAATGATTGAGTGGATTTCGTGTAATAATACACGAAATACCGGGCGAATTTGATTTTTTTTAAGGAAAGTTACAAATTAAATAAATCGCACTGCAAGCCGGTAAAAACCGCACTATGAATAGCATTTCAGTTTTAAAAATAGCTAAATAGTAAAAGGAAAATCATAAAGTAAATAAAATAGGGCCCAATATTATTTTTTCAATGGCCCAAAATAATCTAACAGTTGAATAATGGTTTGGATTGAATTAGAGGGTTCCAATTGGTTCTTTATTGGGAAAGAGACTGAAGTGGGCCCCAAAAGAATCTCTACAATTGAAAAAGTCCAATAGCGAACGGTGGAGGTGCGCCACATACATTTTTAGTGGAACATAATTATTCTATATTTACATTTACTATTTTTATTTTAGAGGACATAATAAATTAGAAATTTGTGATAAATCCATTTTTACCAATATTGCATTTTTGTCCAAATATTTACCATGAGTTTAGGGTTTTTTTCCGTATCAAAAATATTTTACTAACAGTCCGCACGGACATTTTGAATTTGCTAAGAGTTCATCGGGGCACTTTGGACAGAAAATGGACATTTTAAACTAAAAATTGACAGCTTGGTTGGAGAATTTCGACTGAAAAGAGACATCTTAGATGCAAAATAACATTTTTCCAATGATGATGTGGCGGAATTTAGGCGGTCGACGCCTTGGACTGACAGGGGAAGGCGGAAGAGTAGAACAAATGCCAAAAAAATTTAGTACATGTGTTTTCGAGGAAAGATTAGTTAAAGGATAATAAGGTATTTTCTATTTAAGATTAATGATTATTTTTTGTTTAAACTCTCTAATTAAGTTGTCCAATAAATTTTTAACAAAATACAAAAATATAATTATCCTAATTTTAAAAGATATTAGTGCACATAAGTGCTTATCAAATTGCCCCAAGGAAAAAAATGTAACAATCCTTATGAAACTTATTCATTTTTTAATTGAGTTTTTCAATATTCTTTAAGTTGACTAATGCAAGGTGATAATTATAAATATTAAGTATAATTTTTTTTTCTTTTAATAAATAATAAGAGGAGGGATAGGTAGTGGGGGTATACCCCAAAAGAAGAGAAAGAGTACCTTATGCTTTTCTATAAGAATCCAATGTTGAACCTATACCAATACTACGTCCCAATTCGAACCAATCATTTGCATGTGAATTTTTAATTAATTAATTTTGAAGTGTTTATATATTTTATATTAAATTAATAAAATAAAGTTTATTTGCTAGTTACTAGTACTTAGTAGTAGTATGCTTGTCTGCCCCATAAAATGGCAAGGTGCATTGAGATATGTTAACAAATATTGTTTTGTTATCTGATTATAAAATATTTACTTTATGATAAAGAAAACGGAAAAATTCAATTTTCATCCCTCAAGTTTTCACTAATTCAACATTTGGTCTCATATATTCATAAACAAAAATTTAGTACTTCATGTTTCAAAAATTCAACAATTTTTAACTCTTTTCTTTAGTACTAACGGAATCTAGCTTGTGTCATTCTCTGCCTTAACTGACAAACTAATGGTAGATTTACGGAAAGGGCAAAAGGTGTTGAATTATTGAAACATGAGAACCTAAATGTGTTTTTTTGTGAACATGAGGACCAAATGTGAAATTGGTGCAAACTTAAGGGATAAAAACTATATTTTTCCCTAAAGAAAAAGAAGTGTAAGATATCAGTTCAAACTAATTAGCTAGTGCAATTTTATAATTAGCAACTGATATTGAAATTTTTTCGCTGGTATCAATCTGAATTTTTAGGAGTAATATTTATATCTATAATTAATTAATCACTATTCATATTTAGAAATACATTAACAAAAAAAATTATCCATGCTATGAATTGGATTGATAATACTTCTAAAAAAACTTTTCAAATAAAAAGACATGGGCTAAAAAAGATTCATGGAATATGCTATTCTTAACTTTTGCCACTTGGATAAAATAGTAGAAGCTTTGTCATTTTTTTCTTTTTGTAATAAAGTAACTCAGCAACCAGTTATATAAGTGTGCTAGATAAACTGATCCTCTCGAATAATATCTTACAAATTTATACGAGAAATGTAATCCTGACAAGTTCCACCTAGCAACTGTTGACAAAAAAATTTGAACTTGAGTTAATTGATACATATTCACTTGCTCCAACTGTCAGGTCATCCATCATGGAATACGTTTTGTCAAGTTTCAATATTAGTGGAAATAGCCATCTAATAAATATTCATCAAATGGTATACATTTTATAGATATTTAATATATATATATATATATATATATATATATATATATATCCGAGTTTCGTTTAAATCTTGACTAATAGGTAGCGCACGCAACATTCTAACATTTCGTACGCTAGACAAATAAGAATATGGCCGCAACCTTTTAATCATGTTACACTCGATGAAGTTTACTGAATATAAAATCCGTAAACTGAGTTAATAAAAACGAATAATTACTCAAATCAAAATAATGTATCCAACACGTGTAAGCAGATTACACACCACCAAGATTTTCCCCAATATAGCATGTAATAAACCAAAAAATTAAATGCATTTTGTCCCAAAAAAAGCTAATTTATAGAATAAAATTTCTATTATCTCAAAAAAAAAAAAAAAAAAAAGAATAAAATTTCTATTAAAAAAATTAAAAATTAAAAAGAAAAAAGAAAAAAGAAATCGTTTTAGTGGAATTAATAAAGAGCATCGTGGCTGTATACACCGCCACCCGCTTTGTTTCAGAGACAGACACCTTCGTCATCTTCTCCGGCAAATTCGCAAATTAAATTCTCTGCATATTAATTTTTTATTTTAATAAATTTGTTTCCATTATTTTTCCAATGTCTCCATCTCTATCCACAAACTCCTACCTATATATATCTCTCTCCTCCGCCTCCCACTTTCTCTCACCTCCCCCTCCTCCTCCTCCTCCCATGTCCGCCGCCAATTTTCTCCCTCCACCGCCGTTTCCTCTCATCAAGAACCACCACCCCATGTCTACTTGCGTCCACTCCTCCCGCACCGCCGAAACCCCTCCCCACTCAAACCCTACCTCCGACGACCACCACCACCACTTCTCCGCCGCCGCCACCTACGTCAGATTCTGCCGCCCTAATCTCCCCGATCTCTCCTCCTGCACCACAACAAAGAAGGAGCTTCCTCCGCCGCCGAACCCCGCCGGAGATTTGTGGCGGCGGATGAGGGACGAAGCCACATCAGACGCCGATCAAGAACCCATCTTGTCGAGTTATTACCACACCTCGATTCTCTCCCACGATTCTTTAGAGTGTGCCCTAGCCAATCACCTCTCGTTGAAATTGTCCGATTTAACCCTCCCCACAAAAACCCTCTCCGATCTTTTCTTGACTGTTCTAACAGACGACCAAGAAATCATCTTCGCCGTTAACGACGACTTAACGGCCGTTAAGGAGAGAGACCCCGCCTGCATAAGCTACGTCCATTGTTTCTTGAATTTCAAAGGGTTTTTGGCGGTCCAATCACATAGAATAGCACACAAGTTGTGGTCCAACGGTAGAAAGACACTAGCTTTATTGATTCAAAGTCGGGTTTCCGAGGTTTTCGCGGTGGATATCCACCCGGGGGCGAAGATCGGAAGAGGGATCTTGCTCGACCACGCCACCGGAGTCGTGGTCGGAGAAACGGCGGTGATCGGAGACAATGTGTCGATCTTGCATAACGTGACTTTAGGTGGGACCGGAAAAATCTCCGGCGACCGCCACCCGAAGATCGGTGATGGGGTTTTGATTGGGGCGGGGACTTGTGTGTTGGGGAGCGTGAGGATCGGCGATGGGGCGAAAATCGGGGCGGGGTCGGTGGTGCTTAAGGAAGTTCCGGCGAGAACTACGGCCGTCGGAAATCCGGCGAAGTTGATCGGAGGGAAGGAGAATCCGGTGAAGTTGGATAAGATGCCGGGCTTGACTATGGATCATACTTCGGATATATCCGAGTGGTCGGATTACGTAATTTAGATATTCTTCGTGCTTTTAAGTGAGAACCCAAGTTTTCCTATTGGCATTAGATATGATTCTTGAATCCCATGTGATGTTTCGTTTTCGTATCTATTGTTTTCGTTGCGTGTTAACGAATGGGGCGCAATGTGTGCTTGCTAGTTTTGTAAGCTTTTTTGTCGATGTACAGATTAATTTTACTCGGTTTTTTGTTTCGGAGAACAAAATTTCTCATTGTTTGGCTCGGTCTTACAATCTCAGAAACTCGATTGGTTATTCGTAATTTTCGACTAAAAAAGACTAGTAATCAGGGAAGTTGCGTTATATTTCCCGGGGTAGAATTAAATGACGAAAATAAACACTGCAAATTAGTATGGAAGAGACCGATCGAGCTCCAAATCCAACTTTAAACGAACATTGTTAACGTTTTAGCGTATACAAATTATTGCGTTGTACGCAAAAAAAAATGTAAAAAATGAAATGCAAGTTGACCCGAGTAGGGTCTTGATTACCACAAACACACACACATTACATACACCAGTTCAATTTTTCAGTAGTGTTCTTGATATATTGCACCGAATTCAGCCCTCCACGACTGGTCGTCGTCTTCTAGCATTGCATTATTATCGTTATGCAATATATTACTATCGGAGTTTTCACGATATAGTGGCGGCCTTAAGGCGGCTTCAGGCAATCTGCTTCCTTCGAGGTACTGTTTCATTGTAATAATCTCCATCTTGTGCTTTCTTTTTTGTTTCTCCATTTGTTTCCTCAGCTTCTCGTTATCTTCTTGAATTGTCGTGTTTTTCTCCTACAATAGGTACAAAATTACGATTAAAAAAATGGTTTGCAGTATCTAAAAATAAATAAAAAATAAAAATAAACAAGAAGTTACCTCAGCCAATGAAGCTGCTGCTTCAGCTTCTCTCAACCTAGCAAGAAGTTCACCAGCAGCATGCACAGCTTCTGCGGTGTCTTTAAGCTGTATTTTAAGGCTTCGATTCTCTTTCTTCAACAAATCTCTCTCCCTCTCTCTTTCGACTCTTAAAGCAGAAAGCTCTGCTGAAAGGGCCTTTGCGAAACGGGACCCATGGCGACCCTTTGCTCCCGCTTTCAAAGCTGCCCTTTTCACCTCCGCTACCCCTTCCATCATTGCTCGATGCTTTGCTAACAAGTCATTGTACTTCTCCTGTAGTTCCGCATAGTGCTCGATCATTCTAGCATGACAAAGAACGGATCTTTTGAGGGCATCGTCCAATTCTTCAGTGCACTTCTTCTCTAATGTCAACTCCATCTCGACTTTTTCTGCTCTTTGGCGGTGAGACTCGATGTCGATTCTCAATTCGTCGGTCAGTGAAATCCATTCGCTCTCCATTTCCATCCATTTCTGTTGTTCCTTCTCGAGTTCTTCCTTGTTGTTGATTCCTTGAGCATTAAATGCGCAGCTTCTTCTTAACTGGATTGATTGTGACAGCAAAGAAGATCGTAGTTTGTCTGATGATCTTCTTGTGGGTGCGTCGGTGTAGAACTGCAGTTTGTTTCTAAGAACTTCGTTTTCTGTTAGAAGTGCTTCCCTATCTTCAAGAGTGAAGGATTTTGTCAAGTCCTGGACTTCTTTAACTTCACATTTCTCCTTTATAAGCTCTGGTTCATCGCTTTCATCACCATTCCATGTCAGAAGCTGGGGAAAAACGAAAAAGCAGATTTATCATACAGGCTCAAATAATAATCAGCACATACTATTTCAAGGATTCAAGATAAGAAATTCCTTACATTATTTGCAGTGTTTGGTGGTTGATACTTCTCATGCTCTACATCCTCCTCTTCGATTGGTTGCAGTTGGTTCTTCTTCAGCGCACTGAAATTTGAAGAGCTGCGACATATGCTGGTATCTGACTGGTCAGTCACACACTTGCATTGCTCTAGCTGCAGAAAATCGGGAAATTAACTCGTTAGGAACACAGAATCCATACAAACAGAAACCCATTTATTAACATCATTTAGGAAAAAGAATCCAATACCATTTTGGTTAGTTTCTCAATTTTAGCTGCTTGGTCGCGACAAACAATATTGAGCTCCTCCTCCCTCTGAAGAGCCGAAGCTAAATCTTTTTCCATGTCCTGCCGCAGAAAGACCAAACGATTTAGTGGATTTGGAGACTCAATGCATATTAAGATTTAGAATCAAGACAAACCTTGGTAGACATTTGAACAGAAGCACTGGTGTTATCAGCTGATAGACATGGTTTGAGAGCCAAATGTTCGAAAGAGAAGGAAACGGATGATCTTTCTGGCGCTGGGTTCCTCTGGTGATAATCGATGATCTGTAATCCTCTGTGGAGGCTAGCTTCCAAAGATTCGGTGGGTCCCGCAAATATTTTACTAGATCTCAAGGAGGATTTAAGGTTGTCTGTTTGGAGAGACTGCCTTATCACATCAAGATCTTTGCAAGTTTCTACAGCTTCAGGGAGATGGTTTGAGGAGAAAACCACGCTTTTCCTCTGTGCATTTTGTATTTTAGGAGACTCTGACAGCACAGGATCTGGAAGGACTGCCCTTGATGGAAGATCAATAGAAATCGATCGATCAAATTCTTCCATTTCTGTTTGAGGTTCGCTCGAATTAATTTCTTCGTTTTCGCCATCTTCTGAACAGCTCAAGTAATGCTCACAAGTGAAATCTGTCTCACAACCTTCCGCAGAGTATAAGAGTGTACTTTCTCCATTCTCAGATTCTTCTTTTATGTTATCCATTTGAAGCCTTAGTTCTTTCACATCATCCTCGCTGATGTGTAAATTTTCGTCAGAATCATTGTCAATGCAGGGTAAGATCAGTGTACGGTTGAGGCTTATTCTCAAATTATTCAAGCTTTCACGCACATTCCCCCCTCTGAAATATCCTTCGTTGCTGCTGAAGGAGTTGCATGAACTGGACTTGGCTCTCATAAGTTCTTCCTGCATATTCAGACAATGACATTTTAAGAATACTAAGAGGTTAAAGAATGCTTCAGGAAGCTCTTCTGTTCTGAACAAGCAATAATAATACCTTCAATTGTCGGATCTGATCGCTCAGGTCGTTTACATCATCTTCTGTTATTTCATTCACCACAGGTTCGTTCTTCATGAGTTTTGCCCGCTGTCCGAATCTGAGGGTGCTCATAGTTTCACCACTACTCCTGTTTCAGAGGCAAAACAAAGTGTGTAAGAAAAATGATGTTTAAGAGAAGTTGCATAAGTACTTCCACAAGTATCACAAAACTGTAAACGACATCGTCTCTTCTCAAGAGGAAATTTGACATGTATGGAATTGCATCAATAAATAAAGAAGCTAGAAAGTTCATTACTTGTTGTCTGGAGAAATGGCACATATAATGGAGAGTTTAGCATTGCCACCGAACGATTCTCTCAGCAAATGAGTCAGACGAGAACTTCTGTATGGTATTTCTTCAGATTTCCCAGACTGACTTCCATCCGCTAGGATATTTATCAAGCGCCTACAAGTTTTAGGTTATCTTAGTCTCATCTAACAACTAAATAGAAGATTTTACCAAGTTACCTCCACAGGTAATAACAACAGGAAAAAAAAATGAAAGAGGTATTATTCAAATTCCAAAGACATACCCAAGCTGTGCCATAGACTTCTTTATATATTTTCCTTCTTTCACATGCTGTCTACTAGCATCATCAAGCACATTTCTCTCGAATCCAGCGAGGTCAACAAGACTGATTCTACTACTCTTTGAACTACCAAAGCACTTTGATGAGGACTCCTGTGAAAATAATACGAGCAGTTTAAACATATTGATATACCACTAATTCTCTATCGCTTCAGAATGCAACAGAAAATGGATGCCTCGAACCGTCGATGGTCATTTATGAAAGAATCACTATCAATGAAAATGTGAAACTATTTTGATGAAGCTACCTTGCACCAAGACTCGATTATGCATGTGAACATGATATGGGATCTTGAGCTCTTGGAGTTAATTCTTGTTGTTCCAAGCTTTCTGTTCGACAGACCCTGCAGCACAAATTTGAATTTTGAGTACTCCCCCATGATTAAAACAAAACATGTTAGAAAAATACAATTGCTCAACACCATCAAGATTCCTACCTTAATCAAAATCTGAGTCACATCCTCGTAACAGGATACGTACTCCTCAGTCAGATTCTCTACATAAAATCCATTTTTCGTGTCGTCCTTTATCTGGAGTTGGAAGCAACAAACAGTTCAACATAAATTATGCATGAAAAGGCGTTTACGTATTATCTACAGAACAATTGATGGCATATTTACTGATTTTCTCAAAGGGATAGTAAATTAACCTCCAAGTCTCGTTGTGTGGGATCAAGTAGATCACCAATTTTCTCAGCATACACCTACAGCAACAAACCATCTATCATTAAGACATGCCCCAAAAATATCAAGATTTTGGGCTTGGGGAAGAAAGGATCACCTCAAGAAACGAGCATCGACATTGATAATTTATTTGTTTTCCATCAGAATTCCCTTGTTCCTGTGTAATTAATGGAAGCAATTAAATAAAGACTCAACAAGAATCTCACAATTCAAGTGCAAACTAATATACCTTTTGAATCTCTGAGAAAATATCCTGGAAAATGCGCGGCACAATACCCTGAAGACCACTGACAGACGGACCATCAACCATTGCGCTTGGTGGTCCCCACATTGTATAGGTTTTCCCACTCCCAGTCTAGTATTGGTAAACCAAAACAGAGCTCAAAGTTTCATAAAATGCCCAATTACAAAATTGAACGAAATTTAGATAAAAGATTATCCTAAATTTACCTGACCATAAGCCACAACGGATGTATTATAACCAGATAATGCATCCTTAACCAACGGAGCACCTACTAATTGGTATACGTCCCCCTAAAATCACACAAAAGGCGAATAAACTTGAATTATGGTCCATAATATTAGGAAAATTTATCCAGATGTGAAGACTTCTGTAAATGATTCCAAACCTGTGTTGAATCTGAGTCGAAGACGGAATCAAATGTATATGTTCTTTCAGCCGTAGAAAGTGAATTCTTTGTAACGTTTCTGACCGAAGTACCTCCGATTCCAAGACCCTTAGTTGGTTTAATCCTCACTACAACCTAATTCACATACCAGAAAACCCACAAACTTCAATTTATCACATCCATAAATATCTACCAAAACTAAAATTCAACAATGTCCTACACGTTGCAATTTAAAAAAATAATAATAAATCAAATCAATTTACTAAATGAAAGAGGTAAATCACAGAGTGACCTCCGTTCAATTGTTAAAAAAAATCACAAAATTAGGGTTTCACAACACCGTAACTAAAGAAAAAGGTAAATTATAATTCAGCATATGCCAATACCTTGACTGGTGGATTGGGAACTTCGGGGACTTTTTCCTGGACAAAAGATGCGGTGAGATCTTCCTTTAGAGAATTACCGACTTTGATCTTCGTCGGGGATTTTTTGGGGAAGGAAACTGAAGCGGAGAGTGGAGGATCGCGCATCTGAATGTTGGGATCCACCGGAGCTATGTTTTCTCCATCGGATCTGATCCTCGATCGCCGGATCGAATTCGCCTTCATCTTCGCTTTCGGGAGCAAACTCTTGAACGGCACTGAAGCGGATATGCTCCCGAAAAATCTGCTGCTTTCAGAGATCTCGGAATTGGGCTTCGCCGCCATGGTTGCTGCTGGTTTCAACTGATGAATTTGTTGGGGAGAGGAAAAAATAAATCTTACTGAAGAGAGAGGAGAGAGATGGGGAAGAAAATGGTTTGAATTTGAAATTTAAATGTTGTTTTAGAGAGAGAAAGAGAGAGAGACGTTATAATAAGGATGTGACCGTTGGACACAGTGGAGCGTTTAAAATTTTGAATTTGGAGTGAAATGACGAAAAGGGGCTTGATCCAGTTTTCCAGCCCATGAATAAGTTTGCTCGAATGTACAATTACCAATAGGCCCATCACTTACTTTTACATATTGGGCTTAAATTACTATACTAAATTGTTGTTGTTTTTATCTTCATATATATGTGCATTAACATTAGCATATTATAATCGGGATTATAAGTCAGTATTATCATTAGCATTAGCATATTAGTGTTAAGACGATAAGGGTCATGATAAGTATTAATAATAGGACTAGAATTAGGATTATAATTATTATTAGGGTTAACATTAGCTTAAAGCATTAGAACTAGCCATTGGAATTAGTATTAGAATTATGATTAGCATTAACATTATCATATTATAATTACTATTAGCATTAGTAATAACATTAGTATTAGTATTAACATTAGTATATTATGATTTGTGTTAGTTTTACCACTAGCATTAGCTAATTAGAATTAGCTATGATTAGGATTAACATTAGCATTAGTATTAGTATTAATATTAGTTTAAGTATTGGTGTTAGTTAGGGGTGGAAATTGGAACGGGATTTCCGAATTCCGCCAATTCCGATCCGAAAATATCCGTATTTGGAACCCATTTTTTCATTCCAATTTCTGATATTCCGATTTCCGATTTTTCCGATTATTTTTGGAACGGAATTGGAATTACATATAAAATTATTGGAAATTCCGATTTCCGATCCGATTTTATTTCCGAAATATATAATGTATGGTATATATTATATAAAAATATAAATGTTATGATATATGCTTATATGGTTTAGATTTCTAGTATATATATATATATATATATATATATATATATATATATATATATATATATATATATATATATATATATATATATATATATATATATATATATATATATATATATATATATATATATATATATATATATATATATATATATATATCTATTCATATTTTGCAAGAACTATGTTTGCTTTGATAAACTGATTATGTTGTTTTTGCAAGTGTTTACATTTCATCTTATTCACACTTGTTTTGGATTCTTGCATTTTGCCGGTAAAATTACGAAAATATTAGGAAAAAAAATCTTTTTTTTTAGTAAAGGAAAAAAAATCTTTAAATTACCATTATTTCCGATTTTGGAACAAAAAATTAAGAATTAATGCAATTTCTGAAAATTCCAAAATTCCGCCGATTCCGAGGTATTCCGAAATTGGAATGGATTTTGAAATTCCGATTTTTTTGGAACGGAAATTGGAATCTATTTTTAACTTCCGAAAAAAATTGGAAAATTTCCGAATAAGGTATTTCCGATCCATTCCGTCCGATTTCCACCCCTAGTGTTAGTATTAATATTAGTATTACTACTAGGATATATATATATATATATATATATATATATATATATATATATATATTTGTATTTCTGAATTATTTTTCTATTCATATTTTGCAAGAACTATGTTTGCTTTGATAAACTGATTATGTTGTTTTTGCAAGTGTATACATTTCATCTTATAGACCTTTGTTTTGGATTCTTGCATTTTTCCGGTAAAATTACGAAAATATTAGGAAAAAAAAATCTTTTTTTTTAGTAAAGGAAAAAAAATCTTTAAATTACCATTATTTCCGATTTTGGAACAAAAAATTAAGAATTAATGCAATTTCCGAAAATTCCAAAATTCCGCCGATTCCGAGGTATTCCGAATTTGGAATGGATTTTGAAATTCCGATTTTTTTGGAACGGAAATTGGAATCTATTTTTAACTTCCGAAAAAAAATTGGAAAATTTTCGAATAAGGTATTTTCGATCCATTCCGTCCGATTTCCACCCCTAGTGTTAGTATTTATATTAGTATTACTACTAGGATATATATATATATATATATATATATATATATATATATATATATATATATATATATATATATATATTTGTATTTCTGAATTATTTTTCTATTCATATTTTGCAAGAACTATGTTTGCTTTGATAAACTGATTATGTTGTTTTTGCAAGTGTTTACATTTCATCTTATTGACCTTTGTTTTGGATTCTTGCATTTTGCCGGTAAAATTACGAAAATATTAGGAAAAAAAATCTTTTTTTTTTAGTAAAGGAAAAAAAATCTTTAAATTACCATTATTTCCGATTTTGGAACAAAAAATTAAAAATTAATGCAATTTCCGAAAATTCCAAAATTCCGCCGATTCAGAGGTATTCCGAAATTGGAATGGATTTTGAAATTCCGATTTTTTTGGAACGGAAATTGGAATCTATTTTTAACTTCCGAAAAAAATTAGAAAATTTGCGAATAAGGTATTTCCGATCCATTCCGTCCGATTTTCACCCCTAGTGTTAGTATTAATATTAGTATTACTACTAGGATTCGTATTAGTGTTAGCATTAATATTAGTCTTAGACGTGACATGACAATTATACATCGCGATATTCAGAATTAAAAGTAGAGGTGACATGAAGATATTCTTGTTTTTTTATCAGAATGACATAAAATCAGAATATGTCGCCTAATATTACCAGCAATGTTGTCTAGAAGGAAAAATTCAGGTACATTACAAAAATTGTATATTGTGATTCAATAACACATTTTCTTTGTATAATTTATACTAGCAATTTTTATAAGTGCGATGCACGGGAGATTATTTCAAAAGTGTAAAAAGAATAATCAATTTAATATAGTACACTAACATATAGTATTATAACAGAAAATATCGTACACTAACATAGAAAAAAATAATAATGTAGTATTATAAATGTTACATATTAAGATTTAACAAATTGAATTTCTATCTTTATCTCTTAAGATTTGAGACATATTGAAGAAAAATAGGAGATTAATAATTGTTGAAAATTATATTTAGAAAATTAGTAGAGAACAAAAATATTAAAAATAAATAATTACAGATATGCCATTAGGGAGAATTCTTCACGGTTTAGTTTTAATTTTGATATTTGTTGAAAATTATAGTTAGAAATTAGTAGAGAAAAAATATTAAAAATAAATAATTACAAAAATATTATTAGGGTTGTCCAGTGTTTCTTTCTTTTATATATAAAATGTTTAACTATTTTGTAGGGTTATGTTTATTTGCACTTTATGCTAATTTTCTTATTTTCAACTCCAATAATTTTTACTTTTTCTAATGAAGGTAATTTAATATAAATTGTTTTTTCTTACTATTGATCGGACAAAAGACTATGGTATGGGCAAATAAGGCCCACTGAATTGCTGGTTTATGATTGGATGTTTCTTTTGACCGTTACTCAAACGGAACTATGATTGGGCCACGTGTAAGAAGATGGGAAAATGTAAGACAATTACAAAATCTGGCCTTTATTGCAAGATTTCTTGTCACATAATTAGATCTACTCACCACACTTGGCTTTACCTATTTGTTTGCCCCCCTTTTTAATTATATTTATATTTTATTTTAGGAAAAATATTAAGGAAAAACATTTTGAGAAAACAAAATGTAGTACTTATTTGTATTTTCCAATTAAAAAATTAAAAAAACATAACAACGAAATCATGTATGTCTAAATGTATTTGGAAGTTGATTATAGTAGTTAGGGGTGGTAAACGAGCCGAGCCGACTCGTGAGCTCGACGAGCCGGCTTGTTAAAAGTTCGAACTCGGACTCGAAGTTTTCGAGCTCGAGCTCGAACCGGTTTTTAGTTGTTCATGAGCTCGAGAGCCGGATTTATTATTATTATTATTTTATTTTTTATATGTTATTTTTATTTAAATAATGTATAATAATATAAAATATTATAGAAATAAATACAAATATTAAAATATATATAATTACAATTTAGTTTTTATTTTTTATTTTTTTAAAATAATTTTTAATGATAAAATAATTATTAAAAAATAATTATTAAAAAAAAAAAAAAAAAAGACAATGGGCTCGAGCTCGAGCTCGACAAAATTGACACGAGCTCGAGCTCGAGCCAAAAAAAAAGGAACTCGACGAGCTCGAGCTCGAGCTCGACAAAATAAACTCGAGCTCGAGCTCGGCTCGTTCACACCCCTATAGTAGGTGGATTTCAACCGTTGATCTACATATAATCACACACACCCATGTGGATGTGTGTTTAGTAAATTTTTATTTAATCAGATATACGGTTAAAATCCACATGCTATATATAATCAAGTGTAGCATCTAACTTCCCGTTATTTAACATAGTTTATATTGCATTTCGAGAGAAAAGAAAAATACTTAATGTACAATCAAACGAGTTTTTACCCTCTGAATCCAAACATGCATAAACATTATTTTCGATAGATAGGCCATACGATCAAAACTATCGTTCAAACATTATCTTGTAATAGGCACTAACTCGAATAAATAAATAAACAATGTCGTGCGTACTAACTAGATCTGAACCGTTCATCTACACACACCAACATGGATACGTGTGTATTCATGTGCGAACGTGTGTATTTATGTGCGAACGAATAGTAAAATTCGCATGGAAATTACATTCCATTTCTCAAATAAAAATGAATAATAAAACTAATCAATATTTTTTTATTGAAGATAATCAATCTTATATTCCAAGCTAATAAATCAAACAGAAAAAAAACTCACAATACATTCTGAGAGTGATACACAAATCCCAGACAAACGAAAAAAAAAAAAACGAGGAGAATTCGCAGTTTTTATAGCCGAAAACGAAGAAGAGAAAAAAAAGAAAGAATACAAAAATAACTCTACCTTATCAATGTCGAACGAGTAACGAGTACCGTAAACTCTTTTTTTTTTTTTCTTTTTTCTTTTTTTCTGAAAATTCGCACAACAAATTAAAGCACTAAGGATCTTCGACAGTACATCCCGTAGTCTGATTTACACTCAATCGAAAAAGCTGATTAAAAAAAAAAAAAAAAAACCCGAACCTAAAAAAAAGTTATACTCAGAAAAAAAAAAAACAAACCTTAAAAAAACCTTGGCAAAATTCCTTTGAAAACTGCTCTCTCTAAGCATGTATACGTTGCATCAAAACACCCTTGTTAGCTCTGTAATAACGACATCATTATAAGCTGAGACGATGTAATATATATTCTATCAAGGAACCGAACGAAATTCACAATCCATTTTTTTTTTAATGTTTCGTCTCCTACATCGTTCTTCAGAGTTCGTTCCTATGTAGCAATTCCTGAAAAAAAAAATACAAACGATTTTAAATGTAAAATGCAGCTTTTCGAATGGTACGAGATTAGGTTACGACATTTCGAATATTTGTTACGGTAAAGAAACAATGTGTGTATCAATGTTTTTTTTCAAGATCCCGCACGAATCGTAATATTGGGACAACTAAAGTACTAAACAAACACCTAGATTCTAACACATTTGAGAGTGAAATCGTGACTAAATAAAAATCTCGATGGAAAGGGCAAAAAAGGAAATAAGTACCTCTATTAGTTTGTCTATTCGGAATATCATACCCCACCCCGTAATCCTCATTATCCTTCGCATTGACATCTTCCGAACTCCCAAGCGCATAACCAAACGAGCCCGGATTATCCAATTCTGAAGAACTCGTTTGCCAAGTCGGATCACCGTAAACCGAACCACTACGGTAAAAATCCCCGTAATACCCCTCACCACCACCAGCAGCACCACCACCACCAGAGGCGGCAAACGAGGATGAGGGGGCCACCACCCCCGCCCCACCATTCCTCCCAAACCCTCCCACCCCAACCGCATAGCTATTCTCCCCACCTCTATACCCAACATTCCCTCCATTATTACCATTATACCCCACCGAAGAACTCCCGCCAATCGAGGCGGCAATAGGAGAGCTCCCCCAATTCACCCCGTTGTTTCTAAACACCCCAAAACTGCCAGTTCCGGAACCAAAATACGAACCCGAACCAGCATTATTGGCCGAGGGGTTAAGGCCCCCGCCGTTACTCCCCCACACGTTTCTAGAAGGCGAGTTCAAAAACGAATCGCCCCGTGTAGTTGTATTCATATTTGTATTGTACCCGATCGAAGAAGCATTGTACCTACTCTGATTAGCACTGAAATAAGGGCTCATGACCCGCCCGTATCCCAAATTCGAACCCGACCCAAACCCGGGATTCAACCCTTGATCCATACTCATATTCACGCCCATTCCGTAAGCGGGCGACCCGAAAGGAGAAAAACCCGCCCGCCCGCTCGCCAACGGGCTATAACGCCCGTCCATTCTAACACCATACCCTCCGATCGAGCTCAGGTTGTAACCCTGAGGGTAGCTACTCAAGAAGTTGTTGTTGTTGTTTCCTCTGCTGAAGTAGTTGTACCCCACTAGTGGTGGGGCCCGATTAGTGGGCCCGGGAGAGAGTTCTTTCGGTACGGCTCGTTTAACCTCGACCATTTTACCGTTGAGCTCGTGGAAGGTTTTGTGGAGCACCATTTCCACTGCTTCTTCGGAGTCATACGTAATGAAACCGAACCCTCTTGGCCTCTGCGTGTTGTGGTCGTACATTACTACAACATCGGTTATGTTTCCGAACTGGTCAAAGTAGGTTTTGAATTCGGATTCGCTTACGGTGGAGGCTAACCCACCCACGAATATCTTTTTAGTTCGTGTGGGCCCTGGCGAGCCTTGGATGCTGCCGCCGTGGGACCCACTGTTTCGACTGATCAAGTGTTGGTCGTCTCTCGGTACAGCTTTCTTCGCCTCCACCTGCAACCAAACAAAAAATTCATGAATCGAGTGGCATTTACGTAATTTCAAGAATTGAGTGGCGTTTATATAATTTATCAAGAATTTCAAGAATCGAGCGACAGTTCGGCTTTTACGTAATTTTTATAGAAAATTCGGGGACTTACGGTTCGTCCGTCGATCATGTGCTTCTCCTTGACGACCCGTTCAGCGGCTGAGGGGTCCGCGAAGACCACGAAGCCGAAGCCGCGTGCCCGCCCCGTGGTGCGGTCACGCATGATTACAGCCTCCACCACCTCACCATAGGCACCGAAATATTCTCGGAGGCGATCTTCGTTCGTATCCCATGAAATTCCTCCGATGAAGAGCTTACCTTGATCTGTCTCCATCTCTCTCCTGCAAATTCTTTTTTTTTTTTACCAAAATCAAGTCACGAAACAAACTTTCGGATAAAAATCCAATCTTGAAAATCAAGCAAAAATATTCGATTTCGATTCAAACTAAGTATTTACATGTACAATGCGTGAATTGATTAATACATGATGGATGAGATATTGCACAAAGCATTTAAGCAATTCTAATTACCAAAACTCACCTAAGTAAGACAACTTTCGGGATAAAAATCCAATCTTGAAAATCAAGCAAAAAAGATTTGGTTTTGATTGGAACTAATAAGCGCTTACATAATCTCGATAAATCCTATGATCACCGAACAATGCGTGAATCAATTAATACATGATGAACGAGATACAGCACAACCCATTTAAGCAGTTCTATTTACCAAAAATCAACTAAGCAAAACAAGTTTCGGATAAAAATCCAATCTTGGAAACGGACCAAAAAGAACCGATTTTGATTCGAACTAAGTGTGTACATAATATCGATAAATCCTATGATCTTGTTCAACTCGGATAAAAATCCAATCTTGGAAGGGGAGCAAAAAGACTCGATTTCGATTCGAACTAAGTGTTTACATAATATCGATAAATCCTATGATCTCGTGCAATGCGTGAATCAATTAATACACGATGAACGAGATATACAGCGCAAACCATTCAAGCAGTTCCATTTACCAAAAACCAACTAAAGCAAAACAAGTTTTTTCGGATAAAAATCCAATCTTGGAAACAGAGCAAAAAGACTCGATTTTGATCGGAACTAGGCGTTTACATAACATCGATAAATCCTATGATCTAGTCTGCAATGCGTGAATCAACTAATATACGCAGTGAATTAGATATTACTATTGCACAAATCATTAAAAAACTAAAGTAAAAAAAAAAAAAAAAAAAAAAAAAGGTAATTATAGATCCAATTGAATGAGCAATGAACAAAAAAAAGAGAGAATGATACCTTATCCAGAAAATCAGGCAGGAAAATCAGAAGGCAGAAAACTCTGATCAAAACATCAAGTTGGATTTAATTTCAAACACATTGGATCCTTCATTCATCAAAATCAAGATTCAATAAACCGATCCCTGCAAAAAATATATATATACACACATATATATATATGATTTAGATCAGAATCAGATTATACCCACAATCAGAAAAAATAGATACAGCAAGCAATGTTTTTTTTGTATCGATAAAGAGACTCTCACCACTGGAAGGAGAGAAATGAATTGGAAAGAAAAAAAAATGATGAAAACAAGATCTAGTGAGAGGAATATACATAAATGAAAACAGAGGGTATGCTCATCCTCTCTCTCTCTCTCTCTCTCTCTCTCTCTTGTCTCTCTCTTGCTTTCTTTTTCTTGGTTATTCCACTCCTTTTTAAACAAGGAAAAAAATATATATAAATCAAAAGAAATGGAATTTCCTTTAGCTTACATGAGAAGAGATATTATTCATATTTTTTTATATGTAAAAAATAAAATATATAAGAAAAGAAAAAGGGAGAGAGAGAGAGAGAGAGAGGAAATTGTATATGGAAGTTGTATGTATTTATATGTATATATATAATATGGGATTTTGTTAGGCAATAATCTCTGGTTGAAAAGAGTATTTGGAACAACTCTTTTAAGGTAGATGACAGGAGAAGATGAGCTTTTGTGAACTACTAGGTTATTTACCTTAATTGATATTATATATATGTGTAAGAAAAATATTTCAATTTATAATTATGGCACTAATTAAATCTTTATAAATTAATATAGTTGAGACTAGCAAAATTCTATTAATTTATCGAACTAATAGTTTAATATGTTTTCACTGAGTCGTACCAACAAAATATATTATTCTAGCGAGGTTATTGATTTATCGAGGTTATAATGTATTTAACATTAGTATTGACTTATTGTTTTAATCTTTGTGGACTTTATTGTCTTATATATACCACTAATCTATTTTATTTTATTTTTTGGCATATTTTTGTTAACATGATAATTGATATAGTGAAATTAAAGTAATGTTGAATTCAATTTTTTTTTATTATTTTATTTTAAGAGAGAGAATGAAAGAGCTCTTGGGACTTATCTTGGGCCAATGCCATATGGACCATTTAAATTTATTACCAAGGATAAATGTTGAATGTCATATACAACAAAGCATATATACATACTCATCAACTAAAAATATATAAAAAAATAATATAAATAAAACTATGGAATATAAATAAAAGATATATTATTATTATTCATTAATATTGTTGTTTTGTTTCATTTTCATTATTGATAGTGGAAGCTCACTAGAGTGCTATCCTACTACACAAATTTGTGTGTGTGTGTGTGTTTGCAAATTGCATATAAAGTTTTTTATAGTGCCCAAGTACATTATAAATAAATTCTTCATTTCTTGGAAATTAATATTATTTTTGTTTCTCTAAAAAAAAAAATTAAAGATTGGTAGTAGATTATTTTAATTGGAGTTCGGTTTCACCAATAAATGTGACTATACATTAGTTCATTAATTAATATTCAACAATTTTAAATAATTAGGAGTTGTTTATTACTCCTTCCGTTTCTTGTTATACGTTCGTTCCAATTCCACCCTCTTTTCTAGAGTCATCGATATATATTGAACCAATCGAACGCACTTCTAACACTCGTTCTACTTTTGGAAGCCCTTCGATTGTATTATCAGATTTCAGATCTCGGTTTTTCATATATAAATGTTATTATAGTATCTCCTTCGTACATGATTTCCCCATAATGGCCATGAACAGTTGCTCTCGGAGTGGCCAAATACGGCTTAGCTGATCGTACTGCCAGAAAGTCAACTTGAACAACTATAACTTGACCCGATTTTAGGTGTGATGTGTTTCACCATGACTATTTTATTTCGTCTTCATATAATATGTTTGTCACTTCAAAATTCCAATATCACATTGGTTAATTCTTATAAAATTACCCTCGTTACTCGAATTTCGTCACCTAAAGAATGTAATTTAGAAATAAGAATTGACCAAGAGGGTATTTTAGTCATTTTACGTATTATTTTCTAAAATCGTTAAATACTTGTTAAATATTTAATATATGTTTGAGTAAAATCTTAAACAAACAATTGATTTGAAAGGGAGTGAGTAGTTATCATAAATCATAATGCAGCTAATACAACTTACATGATAATGGTCCAACTGCCAGCTAAACCACACTTATAAACAATAATTAAATGTTTCTAATTGTATTCATTTATTTAATTATTTTGATAATTAACTTCTTATGCCAAATAATCAATTTCCATTAATTGGTACAATTGCCTAAATTTAGATCGAGACCAACTCCAAAAGAATATTTTTCAAGTGCTTTCCAATTCCATTATTAGAAAAATGAGGGAAAATAATTTTTAGGGATATTTCTTAGTAATTGATATTTATCCTAAATTAGAAGTTAGTTCACTTTTTTCCTGTCAATCAAATATAAAATAAATAAAATCAAAAGTGTTAATGGTTTTATTATCTTCTAGTAGGTTTTCAAGGGCTTATGAGATCACGCACGCGATCACGCACGCGATGAAATAGACGATATGGTTTTAAAACGTATATCTATATAAATAACTATCCATTAAGTACACGTATTACTATGTGTAGATCAATGGTGTAAAACTACATGGTGTATTTCACCAGGTGTAGGTTCTGCAAAACCGTATTTAGGGCCGTTTTCGGGTGCAAAACTTACATCTATTTTTTGACAAAATTTGATAAAATCCGGAATTACATAACAAAAAAATTGCAAAAAAATCCAATACATCTTGAAGCTTAAAAAGGTAAATACTTTTGAAATTCTAGTTTTAAAACTATCTTATTTTAATAGAAGCAAAACCAGAAATTGCATTTGCAAACACAAATTACTAAGAGGAAATCAAGGATTTATTAAAACAGAAGTTCAACAATAGAAATAGCATAAGAAATGAACTGAGTCGACTCACAAAGGCTTAGAAAAAGCTCGAGTTTGAGCTCAACAAACTTTTGGACTTGAGCACGCAATTATGAACAAGTTCACTAACCGACACATACGTTTTATAAAATATACAATAATAAAAATATCAATTAATGACGTAAGTAACTCGAGCGTTGGCTCAAAAAAAAAGGCGCGTTGAGATTGAACCGAGTCCTCAAAATAAGTCCGAGCTCAACTCATTTACAAACTACTTCATCTAATAAAGCTCGATTTACTTACACTCGTAACCAAACACAGATAACCAACCAACCAACCATTCATTAGTTGCGACCTCGTAAAGTGTTAGGTTGTCTGCTTTTCGTGTAACTATCAAAATAATTACTGCTAAGATTTCAAATATAGATCGGAAAGAAAATCATCATCTTCCGATATTTTCTTCGGTATATTGACAAATGCAATAATTTGGTAAGAAAAAAAGTGGCAGCCAAAACAAACACGTGGCTGATTTATCAACAACTTCGAATCAATCTTTCATCAAACGATGAGTTCCTCAAGCAAAATTCAAACTCTATTTACAGAAACCAAACAAAAACTTTGCCCCCAAAACATCACTTATGTTTGGAGCACTTTATCAAAACTCAAAAAAAAAAAAAAAAAAAAAACGCATTGCAGTCGGCAGGAAAATAAAGGTGATAAACGAAACTGAAAAAGGACTAACACTTGGAGCCAAAAATTACACTTACAAGTCAATAAAGTCTCGTTTTTCAGCATTTTTCGTCATAATCAGCATCCGTCACCATCTTCATCATCAAGAATTGTGTCGAAGAAAGGGTCCTTAAGAAGATCAGCGGCCGATGGTCTAACCCTAGGCTGAGCAAGACATTTCTCGATAAACGACTTCACTTCAAGGTCCTTAACCTTGTTCATGGCTAGAGGCCTGATTCCAGTTGTCACTTTTTTGTATATCTTGACAACGTTGTCGCATTCAGTGTAGGGTAACTCGAGAGTCACCATTTCGAGAAGGCACATTCCGAACGAATATATATCTATCAGCTCTGTGTAGTTCTCTTCGTACAGCTCAGGTGCCATAAATTCTGGTGTGCCGAGAAGTGAATGTGCTGAGTGATTTTTCCCAACCGTGGCTGCCAAGCCCAAATCGCCGATTTTCACCTGTACGAGTTGGAAATGTCGAACATGTAACGTAATCGAGCCAAAAACGATAAATTTAAGAGATTGCGGGTGCCAAAAATAGGAAAGGAACTTGAAATTTTTGGATATAGCAGAACAATATTATTCAAATATGACCAGGGGTGAAAATTGGAACGGATTCGAATTCCGCCGATTCCAATTCGAATATTTCTGATTCCAAAAGTTCCGAGATTTTTCCGATTTTTTTTTTTGGAATTTTTTTTTTTTTTTTTGGAATTGAACTGGAATATATATTAGATTCCGATTTTTTGATCCCGTTTTAATTTCTGAAAACTACTTTTCTAATATCATCATTATTATGTATCCTATATTGTAGATGACTAAAAAAGTGAAAATTCCGAAATCAGAACAAGTTTTTTCATTCCGATTTTTTTTTTGGAACGGAATAGGAGTTAGTTTTTCACTTTCTGGAAGAAAAAAAATAGAATCTTTCCAAAAGTGCTAAATCCAAACCGCCCCATCCAATTTCCACCACTAAGCATGATATATCAACTAACATACTTCGAAAGCTATTAAAAATGGTTTACCTGTCCAGTGTTACCATTAACAAAGACATTGCTCGAATTGAGATCCCGATGAATCACACAAGGTTCACGAGTGTGCAAATAGTCCAACCCCCTGAGAATCTGCTTCGACCACTTCTTAAGAGCCTTCACCGAAACCTGCTTATGCTTCTTCCTATACTCCCTCAGATTCCCAGAAGTACAAACCTCCGTAATGAAATTCAGAGTGTCTTTATTCTCGTCTCGCCAAACAGAGTACAATGCAATAATATTCTTGTTCTGTAAACTCCCGAGCAAACGAACTTCGCTATACAAACGGTTTATCATAGCTTCATCGTCAGAAAAATTCCGTAGCTTCACTTGATTCCATGCCACCTCAATGCCTTCTTCCTGATCAAATGCTCTGTACACTTTCTTCACAGCACCCGACCCTAAAAGCTCGCTGTAACGCCCGTATCTACCCGTTGGATCGACTTCGATAAACGGTTCCATATCAAAATTCCCCACTTCTGAGCCCATAGTGGGCATCTACAATCAAAACATTTCCGAGAATTTCAATTCAATTTTGTAGAATTTCGGAAAAAGTATAAACCCTAACCCTAGAATTTAGAAAATCAATTTCAAACTTTGCATTTCCATCGCGGATTAGCTAAAATCAGTAAAATTCTTAATTATTAATACATAATCAAGCAATACACAATAAAAAAGGGCTCGGAAAAATACGTTTTTTTTTTCCCAATCAAACAGTCGATAGATCACCATTACTTCATCAATCGACAAAATTCAAAGAATATATAAACTTCAATTCTCGCGGAAAAAATTCACCCCCGTCACCTTACACTACTACACGTACTGGAAGGAAATTGAGAAAACAAATCAATTAACGACAAAATTAAAATTCTCCGATCATAAGAAGACTCACGAGATTTGAGATTTCACCGTACAATCGACGCCTCCGGCACCGACCGATGATCGCCGCCGACGCACGAAGAGAAAAGACTGCGCTTTTTGTATGTAGTGGAGCTGAGACGAAGCGGAAGGTTTTGGGGGAAGAAATGACAAAAGGGGCACAAAGACGTATTTATAGTGAGGTTTTGTTTTCGTATTTTACTCTTTTTGCCCTTTGACTATGGTCCGGTGACGTCATCCTATTTTGACTAGGGATACATTTGTAATACCGTTGGAACCTGCTTTAAATTATAATATTCAGAATAAAATAAATAGCACTTTACCCCCCTTTTGGTTTGAACTTTGTGAACATAGACCCCTTGTACTTTTAAAATAGCACATAAACCCCTTAAATTTTAATATACACACATGACCCCCTTGTACTTTCAAGATTTTCATCTTTCCTATGTAGCACGGACACGGGAATGCGAACACGAGGAAACTCTGTTTTTCAAAAAGTTGGATGCGGGAACGTGGGGAAACGCGTAAATAATAAAAATATAGGGGTGCATTCGTAATTTATAAAAAATATTATAATGTTTAATATCATTCCACAAATTACATTCGGGGCATATAAATTTATTTTAGTATGGGATTAACATGTACAAAAATATTAAATCACTATTAGAAGTGAAAGGAGACATAATATTTAAGATTTTTTTAAGCGTATGCAATTCGGAGTTTTTATTTAAAATAAAATTTGGATTTATTTTGTGTGGAAATGTGTTTCCATTTTTTCATTATTATCAGAAACTTTCCGAAACTTTTAAATATATATGGAAACGGCCCCGAAACGTTTTCGAGATGTGTCAAGGAGTTTTGGTTTCCGAAACGTGGAAACGCGTGTGAGTTGAAGTTTTCGTGCATCATATATGATCTTCCTAATGAGCATATTTACCAAATGGAATACCATAGGGAGTTTTATGTGCTTATATTAGAAGTACGAGGGATTCATGTGCACACAATTCAAACTATAGGGAGATCATGTGTTTATATTAAAAGTACAAGGGGATCATCTACACAAAACTCAAATCATAAGGAGTTAAGGGCTATTTACCCACTCTTTGTTTGACTCAATTGGGTTTAACGAATAAATAATTAATTCATTTAGGCCTGATTCGATTATATGAATCGAATCTTATTAATTTGAACTAGATGGAATTGTATTAAAATTTCTACAAACTAATAAATTTTACTTAGATTAAATATAGTATTAAAATTGTTAAAATGTGATTTTTCTAATAAGAAATTAATTTAATTACAATTATAACCTGAATTGTATTTTTGTAAGGATTAGTTCTTATTTTGGTAGATAAAAAGAAGTCATAATTAATAAAATAATTAAAATTTATTTGATGAATAAATTTTCATAGATATGAAGAAAATGTTCTTTTTTCTTTTTTATTTACTGAATATAGTATTATCCAGTATGAAAATTACAGTTTTCACTTAGATTTGCATCTATCCCACATTTAACCCCTCGTTCACAAAAAATACATTTAATCCTGTTAAAATATTAGATTTATTGTTTAGATAATTAAATGATTAATATTAGTTTAGTAAAATAACTAGTCAAAATAGTATCCGTGATTGTAGGATACTTAGTTAGTTGTTAGTAGTGGGTTAGTGTTCCTTAAAATTAGGATAAATTTGTTACTTAGTTTTCTATTTAAGTTGTAACATTCTGATTATATTAAACGAAAAACACTGTTTATCGGTTTTTCCAACATGGTATCAGAGCTTGGATCCTGACCTGTGATCCAACTCTTTTATTTCTTGTGTAACTTTTTTTCTTTTATCGTATCTTCTCTAGAGCATGAGAATTGAGAAGTGAGTTTAAAAAAAAAAAAGAAAAAAATGAAAACTTCGATAATTGAAAACTTCCTACTAGAAAATCACGATTTAGTGATGGATATATCCGTCACTAATTCATTTAATCTGTCGCCAAAATATAGTTATCGACGGATTTAGGCCGTCGCAAATGCCATCACCAAATCCGGCCTCGCTAAATTTAGAGACAAACAACAAAAATCCGTTGCTAACGTAGCTACGAACAAATCTGTCGCTAATGCATAATCAGACGTCGCTAATACTTGACAAGTGATATTTGAGCAGTGATGGCCATGTCCGTCGCTAATAGAAAATTTTACGTCGCCGTCGTTTGTAGCAAAATCCGTCCCTACATCCGTCGGAAAAATGAATTTTCAGAATTTTGTGTATGTCGCTAAATCCGTCGCTAATACAATTTTAATTAAAAAAAATAATTTTAAATTTATAATTCCCTGTTCCAAAACCATTTCAATGCATTATATACTGGAATAGTCACCTCCTTACAAAAATAAGCACCACACTTTCTCCCATAATCCACCAATCAAATCAAGACAACAAACACATGATAAAAATCAAACACTATTCTTTATGCCATAATCAACATCCAGTCAACAATAAGATAAAAAACACCGACCTAAAAATCCATAAAATTAACCCAAACACAACTTCCAACTGAGCTAACATATCTAAATATCCACGTAATGATAATTCAAAACACAATCTTCAAGATTGTAAGGCTAAGCGCTACTACTCGTCTTCCAAACGATAAAAAATAGTCGTGATAAAAAAAAAAATATATACCATATAAGTGCGATGCTATTGTCCATCTCTACCAGCTCCTCCAGGTTGTCTTTCACGCATCTCTTGAATGGTTGTTTTCAAGGCTTGCAGTTTCTCTTGAAAAATAGTCTGCATATCGGTTAATTTTTGCTCCACCGCTCGATTAGCAGCTTCTTCGAATGAAGGAGTTTCAAATAAGCATTGAGAAGGTACAAATGATGCTGATGAAGAACCGGTTGGAGCATGAAATGTAGGACCACCTCCTTGTACAACAGAACTGGACTCCGATCCGAGACCGTAAACTCTTCATTTTATTGGCCCTCCAACTGCCTCGAGCCATGCTTTATCAATAACTTGTTTAGGAAGAGCAGATGCTATTGCCATGAGTGCATCATCTCCATCTTCTTCTTCGTCTTCCTCTTGATTTTCGATTCTTGCGTCTTCATTTCCTTCGCCACCACCCTGTGTCCCAGACATGTCACTTGAATGACGACCCTTGACGATGGTTTGAAATTTAGCCTGAAACATCACAAATTTTAAGAATTAATACATATTGAATAAATATACGTTTCTTCATTAAACTATATAATACATTATCAAATAAATGAAACTTGTCTAACAACATGATCAATATTCAGAAGCAGTAACTGAAACCACACAAAAAAATATTAAAAAACAATCATAAGAAATTTCATCCAGAACTCAATTCTTGCAGCATAACATTTTTATATATATTATAGTAAAGTAGATGCTTACCTAGACAGATTTTAATTTTCCATCAACCCAATCATTATTCTATTTCGTTTTGTGAATCATCAAAAATAACTCAGAATTAGTAGGCTCTACCCCTTTCTCTTTCACCTAAAAATAAAATAAAAAACTATTGCTCAAACTTACACTTCCTTTATGTTCAAAATGTCTTCTTATTGTCGTGTGGTCTTCCGCGGGCCAATTGTACAACTTCTGCATGTATTCAATATAAATAATACATAAATAATTTTCAAATCATGACCGACAATGAATATAATATTATTTTTAAAGAGAATTCAAAGTAATGAGAAGCTGTGAAATGCAAGACATGTTTTGTGAAATATTAATTAGACAAACTAAAGTATTCAAGATTATACCAGACTATAAATTACTGTGTTGCACATATATATGATGTTATATTACTATGACAATCAGCTTCCACGCTATCATATTCAGCCTAATATCACTTCAAAAAGAAAATGCATATACAGTATGTTGAGGTACACTTAGAAAATTCACTCAAGAAAAGTGCAAAAACATAAAATGCAGCTTCAAATCAACACCAGTAATTACTCAAGAACTAGTTGTGAATTTTTTTCAATCCAAAGTGAACATACGTCAAATTCATTAAATCAACGGTCTCTAACATAATCCGATACCTTCTTCCACGTAGGCCATGAACCACTGAATGCTCTTTTGAATATTGCAACCAATTTTCTCGTAGCACTTGAAGGATCAAAGTTGTTAAATAAATCAAAAATATTTATGTTAACACAATATATATCTATTAAATAAGGTGATCAAAGTTTACCTATCTCTGTCTACTTTCAATAAAATTCGTCTGGTAGCAATTTTTTCTTGTGAGATAGTCGTTTGTAAACTCTTATAAACTCATCTGTCAATCCTTTTCGACTTTTTACAAGTCTATTATACATACAAGTACGATCACTTCTAATAGAACTCATTATTGCTACATTCAAAAAACGAAGTTGATGAATTACACACAAGAAGAAAAATGTTAAATAAACAATTGCTCTTGTGAACAGTGCCACAAATTATTGTCAGCATATAATCAGCAATATCCCAAAAATTATACACATAATCCAATTAGTAGTGAAAGATAAGGGTTCCCCTAATATTTATAAAATTTGAGTAATTCTACAGAATCGAAATTCCCGTAAGTTTTTGTGCTAAATTTACTCTTTTAACTACATAATGTCCCATTCAATCAATATACACCGAGAGAGACGAAAGACATAATTAATTTAAGAAAATCAATAACATTAAAGGTAGAAGTTTACCTGATTTTGGACCTCGCTTTGAGCAGTACTTTCGCCGGAGGGGAAGTTGAAAGAGAACTCACCAGCGTGGAATGTTTGATGCCCGTCTGAGTCGAGAAACAGCAGCAGATATTTTTTCTTCTGAAAATTGGTGTTTGCTCGAGATTAGAAATTGGGGATTTTTTTTCTTCTCAAAACGACGATATAAAAGTTAGAGAGAGAAAAAATCGAGAGTTCTGAAACAAGGGTTTAGAGAGAGAAAGAATCGGAGTTCAAATAAGAAAAGGAGAGAATTAATGACATTAGTTTATAATAAGGACTCTTAATTTAATTTGATAAGGAATGCTATCAGCACCGTATATTATTTATATGAGAATAAATTAAAAACGGACTCTCCGTTTAAGTGAGATAATCGGATGCCTTTGATTGACAAACACGTGGACAAAAGTTGCACTATTGGTGCTAAATTATAATATAAATCTTTTATTTATTTATTTATTTTATTTTTTACTTTTACTGATTACATAATTTTTATTACCGGTTTCGGGTTTTGGATTTTGGGTTTTCGGGTTTTGGATTACGGGTTTTCG